CCCGAGCCACGTTAAGTTTATCGGCGCCTCATCACCTGCCACCCTTTGCCGCTGCAGAGCAGGCATTAACTTGGTCAGAACTGGGCGCACACCAACCTACTGGCTTCCCGAAGGAAGCAAGCTCCATATGGGGGGCAGTACAGTTACGAGGTCGACGATAGCCTTGGAAGCAGAGCTGATGGAACATTTGCCTGCCACTTCTCGTATGCCACACCTCCTCTGGTACTTCCACCACCGGGAGCCAACCAGATTAGATGTCACTGCGAGTAACATAAGTGGTATTCTATGCAGGGGGCCATTGTCGCCGGACTGCCAGTCGCGGGTTATCCTGGCAACCCCAGAACCAAAATTAGCATAAAACCCCTTCATAGTGCTGAATCAGCAGGACGGGATGCAGCCGATTGGAGATGAAATCGGCGTCAGGACCTCACCTGCACTGGGGGTACCTGTTCCACGACGAAGAGCCTGGATTCCCTACATCGAGATTTATTCAATGAACTGGTCTGCCGTTGTTGTAGACGGCCATTGCCCGAAAATTCGCGTTTAGCCTTGGGGCAAACAATGCGGCTAGTAGAGGATACAGTTTTTCTTAATCCGGCATAGGCCTACGCCCATATATTGCCGCCCCAAAGCAAAGGCCAACGAACCGATAACAACCTACCAGGCCGAAGTTTGCCAAGTTAGAAGTAGCGGGAAGAGAGACGATATGAAGTAGGAATAGATTGATACGATCTGTTTCGGGTTAATTCTGCCTTTAGTCAGCCAATGACAACCCTACCTACCAGCTAGGACTGGAAAGACAAATATGCGCTCAAGTACGGCACCGTGAGTCCACAGACCGTGTCTAGAAGCTGGGTCATAAACATTTAATCGAACCGAATTTCATCAGTTGGTTGCCTGTTCGTGACCTAGTTCCTATAGCCAATGGAAGCAATAAAATTCCGTTTCCAGCGATCGCATCTTCTTTTGAATGAGAGAACTGCATCCATACATTAGAGGGTAAAGGGCCTTGTCAAGCCTCGCAAAGGAGCAAGATGACAATATTTTCGTCGAGCACTACAGGGATACCATTAGCTGCCAACTGAGGCCACTCACGGGAAGCATCCGCCGATGTTCTCGCTGACCACAATTATGAAGACTTTAAGGAAACTGGAAATGCATCCATAGGCAAGAAGACCATTCGAAAACGTTTTTTAAACTTTTCGAATAAAAGTCATGTCCCACGAATCTTCTTCTTCTTCTTCTTCTTCTTCTTCTTCTTCTTCTTCTTCTCGAAGTCATACTGCGTGCTCCGGACCATCAGCTAGTGAGCACTTGAAAGTTAGCCCTAATAGCAATAGCAGTGCGATTCGAGCTCTAATTTTCACGCTTCATTCGAGCTCGCAATTGATTGGTTGCTGGGCCCTCCGCACTAGCGTACTCAAGGGCGCCAACCAATGAGCGCATAGTTGCCCACCTGCGAGTAGATTATCGATTCCACTTCACGCTCAGCGGCCTAGGGCTCTCTGAAAGAAAAAAACACCAAAGCTAAGCAGAACGGTTGCAGAAAGCAGAGACTCACGTCAATTTCCCGGCCATTAAACAGCCAGACAGGAACGACGGTCTCATCACCAACCGTCTCCGCCTCCAGAGTGACTGTATCGCCCTGAGTCACGTTAAGTTCACCCGGAAGCGCCTTAATTAGTTGCGGAGGCTGTGGTCGTCTGGTCTCCTTTCCAAGTCCCACGCTGCGTCGTCTCCCCGAGGCCTCCGATATCACTACAACCTTGGGGAAGGC